TGGATTGCCAAGGGATTCGTCCTTCAGGGTGGTGACATTGTCAAAGGCGATGGAAGCGGCGGCGACTCCATTTATGGTTTGTGGCGCACTCGACCCTTGGTGGCAAAAACTGAACCACTGGTTCTGGGTATCACGCCATCCTCACCCAGGCTGCAAATTGGCACCTCACAGGCGGCAAATTTAATGACGAAAAGCCTGGACTAAAATTGAAACACGACGCACGTGGCATTCTCTCCATGGCCAATAGCGGCAAAAACAGCAACACCAGCCAGTTCTTTATCACCCTCGGTCCCCAGCCCAAATTGGATGGAAAGCATGTGCCCTTTGGCCGTGTGGTCGCGGGATTAGACGTTCTCGATAAGATTGAGGCCACCGCCGCCCCGACGGATGGGCCCCCTCTCCATCCCATTCGCATCTCTGCCTGCGGCGCCTGCTAAGCCGGCGCAACCTGTTGGCCCTGAAAAATGCGATTCTTTATTCCTTTCCAAAAGCTCTGCTGTCGCGCGTGCGCTCGCACAAGACCGACCAAGTCTCAATCGCGATGGTGCTCTGTTGAGCGCTCCTCCCAAAGGTGCTTTCCAGTGCTGGTCCACCTTCTCTCACCTGCTTCCATATAACCCAATTTATTCGACAAGTCAAGCCAAGCCCATGGCAACCCATTCATACTACTACAGTCGCATTGTGGGTTGTTCTGCTTTGCACGACAATTTTGCGGAGTAGTCTCGTCGTGCGGGCAACTCCTGCAAAATACGTTTGGCGGCTGTATAGAGTTTATCAATTAAAAGAAAATTTGACGCAGTCACACTCGCCCAGACGATTCGTCCATCTCCAATCAGTCACAAGCGTCCGGCTACAGCTCCAGGTGCAGCCAACTTTTGTGGTCAATCAGCACAGTACATTGAAGCCACAAAAAAAAAAGAAAAAAAAAAAAAAAAAAGGAAAAACAAATCGAAAATCGAAAAAAAAATCAGGATAAAAGGCCCATTATTGCCTCGAGTCGGGGTTGACATTGAAACAGGCATCCGCCTCGACAAAACTCATTGATCCAACGCCTCAAAAACAGGGTTCTCGCGATGCAAGGTGGGCGTAAGGTCACTTTTCTCCTCGGTCGTAGATTCAGCCCCCACAGCTGAGGATCGGGTCTGATAGACGACCCAGATAGCCGTTAGCACCACGGCAGCCACTGCCGCACAAGCCAAGCCCGCGATACCGGCAGGACCCAGGCTCTCCGTGCCAGAACTGCTCTTGGTCTCGCCACCTCCCTGTCCGATTCTGGTTGACGTGGTCTCCGGAAGGGTTGTTGTCGTTGTCGGTGCGGTCGTGGAAGTGATGACCGACGTGCTTGGTTGGGTGGACGTGGTATGGTTGTCGGCTGTGTCATTGGCGGGTGGCGTCGCAACAGTCACACTTACCGCTGCTCCAAAGTGGCTTGCCATTGCGGCCGCAGACGACTGCAGCGCCACAGCAAGAGCCGTGCCGTTGTCTCCGGGTTGTTGGATTGTAAAGCCCAGGGAATCGTGATAAACCAAGCCAAGAGTGGGCTCGTCTGCAATTTGCCGCAAAAACTTGACAGCCTCCACCACCTCCCAGCCTTCAAGGCCCAGCACCGCAAGGGTAGCCCCACAGCACGCGGCAAACTGTTGAGCTTGACGGCACGTTTTGCCTTCTCGAGCCATGCGAGAGACGATGCATGACTCAATGTTGCATGTAGACCAAGGTTCGTAGTCTGCAGTTGTACAAACTTCGGCCGTCTCATTCTCCGCACGTGCTTTGCAGATGCCGCTTTGACAAGTGCCATAGGCGCATGGAGTCTCGTCAGCCAACGCAGAAAAGACACAGCGTCGCTGATCATGCCGACACCACCCTTCGTCTTCCTGGCACTCGGTCACGGCGGTGTCGCAACCCAAGGGACAAGGAGGCAGACTGGGTTGATGGCAAGTGCTCTGATCAGTGCATAAAGTGCATGCCCCCGTTTCACCACACTAAGCACGCCAAGGCAAAAGGAAGGAGAACACAAGACAGAGATTAGTGACTGGCTTGTCGACAAGTTGCCAATCATTGTGGCCCGCAAGATCGTTCAACTCACATGTCCTTTGGTCCCGTCGACTCGCGTGCAGGCCGTGCCAACTGGTGCTTGTGGACAGGTGGATGTAGGGACCAAGTACCAGTCGGCCGAGCAGCCTTGTCCATACGCAGCGCAAATGTTTGTGTAAAGGCAGGCACGGGCGCATTCCTTGCCCGGCAGCGTGCAACCTTGATCCAGCCCCACGTTGGTTTGGCAAAACTCGTCATGTAGTTGTTCACAGGTGCCAGACACACAGCGGCCAACTTGCGCAGGGTTGGTCGTCAATGTGCAAGGAGTATCATCTGTCAAAAAGGCCACGGGACAATAGGCGTGTTCACCATCACACAGCGCCACCTCGCTGCAGGACTCGGTTTCATCTGGGGCACGACAAAATGTGTTGTTGGGAGCCAGCCCCATGCTGCTGCAGCAGGGGCCTCCAAATCGACAAGGATCTTCTTCCAGAAGGCAGTCGCCCTGCAAGGCGATGGTGGAACTCATGCTGGCAACAGAACACGGAGAAAAAAGCCGAAAGTTGCCGGAATCGTGCTTGACGATAGTGGGTGCCATGATATAATGGCCGCCGTTGGCCGCCAAGGGGTAACACGCGTGCGAAGTGGAGGTACTGCAGAGTGGGAAGGTGGCGGTGTCGCATGTGCCATCCCCACTCTGACAACAGTCATGGACAGCGCCGTTATTGTGCCCCAATTCGTGTGCTAGTGCCACCTGGGACCAGGCCATCAAGGCGCAGTGAGGCAGCTACAGATATAACCTTTTGATATAATCAGCGCAAACAGGCACCAGAAAAGCGCGCAAAGGTGTGCAGGTCAAAGAAGAGCGTACCACTGCAACATCATCATCAACGGCGCCGTAGACGACAAGGCTAGTAACATATCCCGAGTTGAGGGCAGCTGGACTCGACCTGTAGTGATTGACAACGGAATGAGCGCAACCGGTGTGCAAGTTGGGTTTGCTTTTGTTCACAGGCACGCGCCTGTGCGAGCGGCGGCTACTGACTGAATGATGCGAGTGTCACAGATGCCAGCAACAAGGTTAGCTTGGGTGGAGGCTTGCGCAGCACGGCCCAGGGTATAGTTTGTGTTGACGTTTGTAAAGAGGTAGTTGAGGCAGTTATCGGCATAAGTAACGCCATTGCCGCGAGGGTCTGGGGCAACAAAAACACCCCCTGCAAAGCTACCGCCGTTGACGAGCCAGGCTTGGTAAGCATCGAGAACATTGTTGGCCCGCCAGAGTAAGGTTGGTGAGCTGGTTGAGTTGGGGTTTGGGAACGCGCGGTTCAAAAAAGACACGCCTGCCAACTGAAACTGAACGGGCACGTTGCTGTTGCTGTACATGGCGTTGACCTAGAAGCCTCCAAAGGGGTCAGTGGGATGAGGAGTGTGTGGCGGTCTATGACGGCAGCCGAGTCACATATGTCATCAGAGCGCTTTACAAACACGGAAGCGAGCGGCGCACCTGATGGAAACGTGAGGCGAGTAGCGTTGTGATGCGCTCCTCTTGGAGGGTTGTGCATGCAGTTCCCGTGTATCCGGGAGGGCACTCGCCGGCCCAGCGGGCAAAGAAGGTGTCATCGGCATCGGCATACACGGTGCACCACTTGTGGTTGGGCGAGGCTGGTCCATCGCGTCGGTGGCGCATGGGAGTAGGTGGAGGCGTAGGCGCGGTGGTGGCGGCAGAAATAATGTCCTCAAGGCGCTGAGCTTGGGAAATCGCACCGCCCTCATCGACGGGGTGGGGGTGCGCGGTATCAGGTGTGAAACTGTGCTCTGAGGAGTTTGTCGGTGTCGGTCGAGCGTGGGATGTGAGAGCACGAAAGCAGAGGGAAGCATTCAAAGGACTAGTTCCCAGAAAGAGAGGGCTGCCATTATCAAGGTGCAAAACCCCAGACACGGTTGTGCCGTGTCGAGTGAAGCGGTTGGTGCCGTCGACCGAGGACCAGAAGTCGGCGTGGGCCATGATGTGCTGGACTCGAGGGCCGAGCACGGCATGATCTTTATGCAACTGTAGCTGGCGTCGTACCCCATCACTGGTCCTACGGAACTCAGGTGTACATGTTTCAGAGCAATCAACCAAGCGAGCAAGGGACCTCAGTGGAAAAAAGATGATGAGAAGAAGGAAGGGGAGGTGGTGGGGGTGCTAGGTGGTCACAAACCGTTGCAATAAAAGGGTGGCCGCTTGATCGCCAGGGCTCATGCGCAACTGGCCACGCCAAAGACACGAAGCCTTGACCTGGTTATTACTGTTGTCTGTTGGATTCAGCTGCCGCCTCTGCTCCGGCAAAACTCGAGCCGTGGCCATGTGGACGAGCAAGGCCAGCACGACAAGCTGGATCGGCCCAAGTCGTCGTCCCATTCTATCGGTTTGAGAATGGCGGATGTTTGCTCTTTGGAAAAATGTCCGGGTCATTCAAAAGTCCCGAATCAGTCTGGATCCGGTGCCTCAAACCTGGTCCGAGTCAAAGTCAAAGTGGAAGGAGATCCAGCCACGGTGGAGGAGGACTCGAGCACACGAGCAGCCCGGCACACGGTGGGGCGGGGGCGGGGCGGGGGCGGGGGTGACCGCAACAACCTGGAGCGGGTCAGCATTAACTGGCACCTAAAACCGGAGACACTTTTTCACCTGTTCATCGAGACAACTTCGGTCACGTACCAAGTGTCATCCCTTATGGTTTGACCGTTGAGATTCGTTCTTCCGTTACAATTTCCGTTGCATTTTCCTTCTCCTCAACGGTGAGTCCCCACCCTTCCTCATTCCTCGCATGCGCTGCCATTTATTGATGCGTGAACCATCTCACCTTGCCTTTCTTTTCTTTGCGTGCAGCCATTATGGCGACTCCTTCTCCGGTGTCTTGTGCAATCTGCAACATGCTTGTCTCGGATTCCAATGAGCAACGCCATGTTCAAACGCACCATTCCACTCCACCCGATCTCCGCCGCCCTTCCGAGTGCTTTCCTTCTCTGAACTGGATTGACTGTCCTGCGCCAGGATGTGTGTGCTCAATGCGCAAGGGCGATCCGCTGATGGCGCACTACATTGAAAGCCATCCTGTACATGCCAACGAAAATTTGACCACCTTTTTTCCCAGCGCTGTTTGCTGCGACTGCGGCCACTGGTCCTTTAATCGCGTCTGCGCCAAAAGGCATCGCTCTATGAAGCATCGTGATGCAATAACGCATCCCCCCAAGGTCAGCTCCCGCGTCTTCGTGCTCGGACATGCACTACGCACAGTGCAATTGATCCTTTGGCAGGCCTGCCTCATGGAACAAATCCCGAACAAGTGCCTCTCAA